AACACTGTAGTATAGTGGGGCAACCAATCAAAAAGCACACCAAGAAAGCCAAAGCCCAAGAGTTCCAGAAAGCCAGAACAGGTGTTGAACCTGTGTCCTCTGTTCTTCTACTAAAGGTTCTCTAAACTTCAACACGCTGCAAGACAGTGTTCAGGGGATTTAAAATCCTAAGCTTATAGCAACTCTGCTACACCCCTTTTCTGCTAGGCAGGTGGAAGTGTAAATAGAGGCAGTAAAAAGTACTGAAAGCTCCTGACACCGCTGAGTGAGAGAGGTCACTTCTAGAAAAGCCAAAGTGAGCAAGGTCACCCTGGCAATCTAGAGTCTCAGCAAACTGGGACTGAGAGGTTGGACTTCACTAAATGCCAAATTGGCAACCTCTTAGTGCGCTATATATGACTATATAGTCAAAGTTTAGGTCTTCAAAAGCAGGATCACAAAGCAGTCTCAGAAGCAGTAGTAAGCCCCAAGTAGCCAGAGAATCACACGCGATGACAGCGCACGTCAGATTGTGTTGATAGAAGCACCTGTTAAGGTTTAGTCAAATCCAAACTCCGCCGGCCAAAAGCGGAGCACAGCAGCGCACACACGTGTGGGCATGCCAGACGAGATATTCCCACAATATGGACAAAATCCCTTAAACTAAACACAATCAAATTCACACGCGTGTGCAAGTTTGAAATTCCCACAATACGGACAAAATCCCTTGAACTAAACAAAACCAAATTTCCATGCGCTGATATAAGCATCTGCAATTTCAATCAGTATCTATACAGAGGGGAGCAAGCTCCCCAATTAATCTGTTTCACAAGGTCTTCAAACCAAACAAAAGGTTCCAAAAGTCAACAAATAGACTTGAGAGAAAAGAAGCCTAAAATGAGGAGTGCGAAGACGAGACCAAAAACCCCCGGCGGGACTCGAACCCGCAACCTCCAGATAATACCTGCCATCCCAACTAGTAGAAGTCTGACGTCATAACCATTAGACAACGGGGGCCTTAATACATTTTTCTTTTGACGAGTTAGGATCCGGAGTTACGCCGAGGGCACCAAGCCATGGGCAAGCAGATGTCTTCCTTGATTAAAATTGCGGCTTGGAAGAATCTTTTCACAAACCAAGCAGTTCTGCTTCGCCTCTCGCGGTGGCCTTGATCTAAGCGACGGCACGTGAGACTTGACGCGCCGGCAAAAATTATTTCGGGCTGTGCATTTGCAGGTGCAAGTCCATCCCAATCCACGTTGTTTACAGCCCTCATCGACCTGGGATTCGGGAATGTCAGAAACTCCCTCCGTCGTAGAAGATGCCCCTAAGCCCAGTGCTGCCTTCAACCTAGAAACCATACTAAGTGACAATCACGAAGCCGTCGAACACCCAGGGACGTATAGCAACGGAGTAAGCACCGTCGGGTGGGATGAGGAAGGAGCCGAGACCCAGGCTGCTGAAGGCTACTGCATCGAGTGCGAAGGTTAGTTCATTTCTGATCTTGTGCACAATTAGCTCAGTGTTCTTTCTGAATCCAAAGATCAACCTGCTCAAGTGCTTTGTGAAACGTGCTCGGATGCGTATTGCGAGGTGTGTTTTGCTGCGCAGCATAGGAAGGGATCGAGGAGACAACATAAATCTAAACCTTTGTCTGGACAAGGCGGAAAAAAGCCGACGAAACCTGCTACTACTGATGATGCCACACGGGAGGAGTCTGTAAGTCATCCCGGAATCAATTGCCATTTAAGCGACTAAGCATTTTCTGTAGATGGACGTGGATGAGGGCGGCGCAAGTGACTCTGATGACGACGAATGGGAAGGAATTGCTCCTGGGCCCTCTACCACCGAAGTGCTGGGTGCACAACCTGCCATCGGCGTTAAAGTCGGCGAGTGGTTCGTGGAACGAGCAAAGTATATTCCTCTTCGCCTAACCCTTATCGAACGTAAATATCTTCGCCTCTTGGAAGCTGCTCTCAACGTTTCAGAATATACCGACAAAATCGACACCATTGGATTTGGACTTTCCAAAGCAAAGAGAATTGTACAGCAAATCCGGGAACTTTGCGCGATCATGTCGGGTCTCCTGCTTGCGGCGGATTACAAGCAAGGGCAGGAACTTTTCACAGACCGGGACTTCGAGTCCAATGCGGAGTTTTACCAATCAATATTCGAACTCGGGCGGAGACACAAGATTATGAATCCTGACAAGATGAGGACTACGTATGGAAAACTCATCTATCTCTTGCAGGTCAGAGAGCGTTCCCTTCGTTCATTTTCTTTCTCTCCTTACGCTCAATACAGGACAGCCAATCACCCGATGTGAAAGAGTTGTTGAACTTTTCCTGTGTCCGGCCAATCAAAACCGTCTATTCCATTTTAGAGGAGCACCAGGTGACCGACCTTTTACGAGACGATCTCATCACCGTTGCCACCAAGGAGATTTACTCCGAGGGCCGATCGCGGCGGGAAATTCAAAAGGATATCAAAAGCAAAGAACGGGCCATAGAAACTCTTGCGGCGCGTTACGAGCGTGATGGGCTTTCACAAGAAAAGTTACGGCAGTGCCTTTACTCTATTGGCGACAACCACGCTTTCTTACGTGTGAATCGTGACCCATGTGAACGGATGATCAACTATTTGAAGGAGTACTTCCATCCAACACAGGCGAAAGACAGCAAAAGTAGTCTTGCTATTCGAAGTGGCAGAGATGGCGCAAGGCTTTCTCATGACCACGGAAAACAATACGCATATGTTCTCCAGAGCTTGACGCTTTGGAGAGAAATTCTACATGGTAGGATAGCATTCTCAATGCCTTATTTAGATTATACATCTAATGTGGTCTGCATAGATATGTTCCATCTGTGGTCATTGGCGGAGCAAGACTTACTCGCCGAAAACGTTCCATACCGCCTACGCGATACTGGCCAGGGCTTGAACCGCGTCCAGGCATCACCAAAAACCTCTCGCATGATGCACAACATTCTTCACAAAGCGCAGAAGAGTGTTGGCGCATGGATAGGCTCAAGTGTTATCCACATGGGCGACCACAACGTCCCCAACGCCTTGATGTTCATTGACAAGTATACCCAGATTTACCGCATCCTTCTTCCCATTTGTAATACTCTCTCTCAAATACCCTCCCTTGCTGCAAAACCCGCTTTGCGTTCGTACATTGACGACGAGTTTGGATCGACAGAGAACCTGACGCGAGAGATCCTGGGCGATTTCTTCCGTCATGGATTCGATGGTTCTGGAGCGGACAATTTCTTTGATGCTGGTAGTTGCATAGATGGAAGGCTCACGAGTGCATGGAACTGGTGTGCCACAATCGAAAAGAAGAGATACTTTCACGTCTTTTTGTTAGCTGGTATGTCTACGTGGTTCGTTGATGAGCCTTGATAACTGATGATTGGAATTACAGGATTTGTGGGCTTTGATGGCGAGTGGTGATAGAGGTAAACCCTTTAGAGACTATCACAAGAGTAGACTTCCAGATGTCAATTCATTTACCCCACATTCATAGATATTTATAGATGCCGCATTTACTAGCAAAAGTCCATCTCATTGCATTGTCCATGGGTCCATTCTAACCATTCACTCGTCGCGTTGAAAGTGAGAAGTTCTTCCGCTCATACCACGCCCAGGGGAAATGCATGACTTGGGTTCTTACGCGACGAAGAGCCATGTCCACACTTACATATAATTGAAGTCTCTCACCAAGTTTCGTCATATAAGCAGTCAGACTTATCTGTTGGACCATGCGTAGATAAGACGGAAGCATGCGCCTATGTTTGCTTACACGCATTAGCTTCTGTCACCACGGCCGGGCACAGAAGCCCCGCTATTAGTATGTATACATGACTTTCTCGTCGGTTATGACAGATTGCCGGAGGACACCGTTTTTTCCAGATGTTGAGGATATACATAGAGACCTGATAGGAGAAACTCGACCTTGTGGTCCACCAGCTTCAATTTCGACAGATACCTCCCAAATGACGCGATCACGCAACCTCCAGGGAGTTCTGTCAAATATAAGTATACTTGGACATCATAGCTAATTGAGGTTCGTGGAGCACTGGGTGTGCCGCGGTAATGTGTAGTCGAAAAATAAAAAGCACGTATCATTCCCAAGAAACGACATTACCCATCATGATTATGCTACATTTTGGGGTTGTCCAAGGCCTGCTGATCGCTTTGCGTTCACCACGACATCTAAAATACCGTTGAGGCCAGACTTCCACGCCAATAGCCTCTTCTGAAGGGCTTCCCACTGCTCCTTCTCGAACGTCCGCGCGGTGGCTCGCGTGATGTGTAGGCTCTGTTTGGTTTGTGAGAGTTTACCCCACACCAACTGTGCCCGGATAACTATAATTCCCATGAGACATCTGGTTCTAAAGGACGAAAAAAGAAGGACTACCATCGATAGCCCACTTTTCGACTTCAGCAACATCGACTTGGAGGGACTCGGCCACTTTTGAGTATGGTAGATCACGACCGACATACTGGAAGGCGAGAGAGGCAAGTGTAAGGAGTCGAATTTTATGCTCTAGTTGTGAACGGTCCAATTCTGTACGATGTCAGAAATTGGGCCAGGTTTACAGGGTGATGATACATACTGTACTTGTCGAGAGCATTTGGGTGTGATCCTACCCAGGCATTGAACTCTGGAAGGCCATTGCTAAGGAATATCTGGAGAAGGGAGAATAGCTCATGGTCTTTTGCTGAGATGACCGCATCAAGCTTGAATAGAGGGTCAAAGTCGAAGATGTTAGGGAGTCTTAGTGCGGTCGCAATCAGGTCGATAGCCCCTTCCTGAGCGGCAGGCGACGTTGACGGCAATGTTTGTACACAGAGTCGCTCATATTCATAAGCTGTTTCTCTAAAAAGAACGATGGGCGAGCAAACGTAGGAAACATATATGAACGTACGGTTGTGATTCTGCCTTGTACGCGCTAGAAATTATTTTGAGGAACGAAGCTTTCTCAGTTGGAGTAATGTTCCATTCAGAGAGCCACTTCTCTACGTTCCTACGGGTGATTTGGAGTACATCAAGATCGCCGTTGACGCTGGATATCTGTATGAGGGCGCTGTAAACCTGAGGTCGAATGGATGATGTGCGTTCAGTGGCGTTGAAGAGGTTTGATAGTCTAAAGTACTGTATAGTCAATAGCAATTGCCTCTGAGGTAAACGGATCGTCGTACATGCGGTATTTGAGGAATTTTTGTGTTGCAGGTTCGTCTGTAAGAAGTTGAACGAAAACATTTACGTAGTCTTTCGCGTCGGACCCATCGGACGCGTACAAAGAATACAAATGCGAGAATAGCAGGTTGAAGAAACCTTCAATTTCTATTTTCGAGATAGTGAACAGGACGAATTCCCAAAGAAAAAAAGTACGCACCTTTCTCCGTGCCATCACCAAAGCTCTTTACTTCGACCACCACCATCTTGAAAATACTCCGCTTCCGTTCAACATCCTCTTCAAGAGGTTTTTGTTCCTCGGACGTCCTGAGGGCGTCTTGGAAAGGGCGTATGAAAGCAACACGTTCTTCTTCTGATCGATTTCGAACAATGTAGTTAACCAACTCTTGTATCTGGTACAGAAATTGAGATCGCATGGATAGAGGCTTCGGTAGAAGTTCTTGCCTGCTCCTCAAAGGTTCCTTCAGCGAGGACTGAAACCGAGTCCGTTCCAGCCATGTTGTAAGGCTACTAACGTATACAGCCCTGATCAAAAATTCTGGAGGAAGTCGCAGCACAACAAATGCAAACCATGGATTTAAATTTCGGATTTAAATTGATTGCGGCCTGACCTCAGTTGAGCGTAGTAAAGTACCGCGTCGTCCCTGTCGCCACTGAGAGCATTATGAGCTCTACTAAATTCTGACTGCAATTGACGCCGACTCTCGCGGACTACATACTTATCTGTCACTTATCGTATACAGAGTCGCAGCCAGATTCCCGTCTTTCACCGGCATCAATTACTCCGGCCTTCTTCGCTTCCAAAAGCCACATG